ATTTTCAGCGTCATTATTCCAAATAAGGGGTTTTTTAGAGTTTTTACTACCAGCTGTTAATTTTGTCAGTGGCGAAGCAATGTCAGCAAATTTACAAATAAACCTACGATAGTAAGAGCACAATCCAAGGAAACTTCTAAGCTGCTTAACCGTTTCAGGGCGGGGGAAATTTTGAATAGTTTGTAATTTAGACGGATCAGTGTGTAAACCCTTGCTATCCACAATGTATCCGAGGTATCTGAGTCTGTCTTTACAGAACTCACATTTCTTTAAATTTACAGTAAGGCCAGCATCTTTAAGTATCTTATAAATTTTGTTTAAGTAAGCTATATGGTCTTCAAAATTATTATTTATTAAAATCAAATCATCCAAATAACAAAAAAGTACGTTATCAAATTCAGGTCCAAAAAGTTTATCTACTAATCTCTGCAGTTCTGCAGGAGCGTTGGTTAATCCGAAAGGCATTCTAACGAACTGAAATAACCCTTTACCCGGTACTACAAAGGCAGTTTTCTCGCGAGAAGATTCCTCAAGTGCAATCTGAAGAAAAGCTTTAGAAAGATCTATGGTTGTTATGTAACGGGCGCCTCTGAGGCTGTCTAAAATTCGGGAAGGATAGGGGAGGGGATACGAATCTCTAATTGTAATGGAATTTAAGCGTCGAGAATCTAAACATAATCTAGTGCTACCGTCTTTCTTTTCTACGGCCAAAACAGGAGAACACCAAGGAGACTTAGAGGGTTCAATAATACCTTCCCTAAGCAGAGCCTCAACTTCAACAAAAAGTTCCTTCTGCTTAGCAGGACTCAAAGGCCAATATCTCTGCTTAAAAGGTTCACCAGTAACTTTAATTTTATGTTCTACCAAATGAGTGAGACCTAATCCTTTCTTTTCATACGAAATGTCTTCAAAAAGCGAAACTGTTCTATCAAGCTTTAACTTCTCAGAAGGAGTAAGTTCAGCGGCGCAAGTTACCGTACAAGTTTGAATTTTATCATTACTCACGAAGGTTATAATTTTCCACAAGTCCTTAGCCAGGTCAAACTTAAGCCAAAAATCAAATCCTAAAATAATTGGAATATTAAATGAAGGTATAACAAGGAATTTAATACTTTTTGTTAGATTATCACAAGTAACTGGTAAATTAATAACTCCAATAACCTGGGAGGCGGAGCCATCCGCGGTGTAAGCAGATTTAGAAGTGTAATTAGGCACTTGCTCAATTTTAAAACCCATTTTAAGAAACCGTTGGTGACTATTAGAACCTAGAATACAACCATTGGACCCACTATCTAATAAACCCGAAAATTTATCCCCTTTAACAGAAAATTTTAAATACGGTCGAGAGTCATTATTTTTGACAAATAAAACAGGCGCAGCCCTATGAGTGCGAAAGAAAGTTTTTAGGAATTCCACCCAGTCCAGAAATTCCCTACGGCATGAGGCTTTATCGGGCCTTTTAGTGTGTCTAATAATTTCTTTAACCATCGAGACATCCTTAGGTTTCTCAGGAACCCGAGCTCGATGGAAACTAATCAGTTTTTTGCCCCGTTAGGGTTCACTTTGGCCGAATTGCACACTTCACACAAACTTGTGATAACCCCCTCCTTCCGGCACCTGAAGCAGATCACGCCTGGGATAGAAGGACAATTCCTATAAGAATGACCGACCGACTTACACTTCAAGCACAAAACGCCCTCCTTGTCAGAGGTGACAGCGTTGGACTGTACCCTTTCAAATTTAAAAGACTTGGACGACTCCCTAAAAGGTTTCCTAATACCTGAGGCCTCTAACTCCTTTCCCAATCCTATAAAGTCCTCGAGCGAAGATATCTGTTTACCAATCATATAAGGTGCATAAACCGGCAACATATTGTATTTAATAATAGTAATCAACGACGGCTCTGGAACAGCAGTGCCCAGGCGGCTTTCCATGTCCATGATTTCCGTGATAAAGTCTGGAAGAGACTCACTAGGCTTCTGTTTGCGAATGCGCAGTTCATGCTCCAAACAGCTATCATAGTCCGGCCTATCAAAACGTCTAAGCAAGGCAGCCTTAAGCTCAACCCACGAAGAGATCTTCATACGAATAGTCCTAAACCACTTGGCAGCAGTACCAGCAAGCAGATCAGCAAACGAACCAATCAACACGGCCTCATGAAAGTTCCTGAATACAAAGTAATCCTCAACACGAGTGATAAATTCTCTAACACAGGTCTTACCGTCAAAGATTATCTTGCTCCTAGTCAAATCAGGCAGCTTCGTAGTATAGGCAGGCATATTCCTCCTAACGTGTTCATTCATGCTGTTGAACGAAGGCAGACTTGGTGCAAGAGCAGGAGTATCACGAACATAAGACAAGTCCAATGGGACGCTCATCTCCGCTGACTCATCCGCAGCTGTGCCAACATCCACATTGGCAGGCGACGTTGAAGGTGGAGCCTCCTTGTCCATATTACAAACCGACATTAACCACACAATTCCAAAACAGCCGTTCAAAGGTTAAGTTTTTTAAAATTAATTAAGTTTAAATTTATTCAAAAGTCACTGTTGTGAAAACCTAGGTTTAAATTATTTAAAGGTTAAATCCTATGAAAGGATAAGTTTAAATTTATTTAAGAGTTAAATGTTGTAAACAACCAGGTTCAAATTTATTTAAAAGTTGAATATTGTAAAGAAAAGTCTAAGTTGATTTGAAAGTAAAGTGAAAAAGCTAAGTTTTAATTTAAATATCTAAGTTCTGTATTAAAAAGGATTTAAGGATTGCAGTAACCACTAACAATTGTTCTAGTAACTAGATAATAACAGCAAGGCTAAGCTAAGTTAAGTTAATCTTAATTTACAATAAGTTATATTATAATAATTCCAAAGCGGAGGTATCTATAAAATGTTTCTTGAGCAGACTTACAATTAACATTCAAAGCTATTAAATTGTAACACAAAATGTTTCAGTAACTATACCCTTAATTGAGAATACAACAGGCAGCAGTATAACTTAAATTATTGTTGTTTGTTAAAGCAGAAATAACATTGTAAAGTACACAATGTTGTAAACTATTATTGAAAAATTGTAAAAATAACCTCACTTAATGATAATACAATTATAAAATACACAAGGTATGTAAGAAAAATATAGGATGCAGTAAAGACAGTATCCAATCAGTTATCTAATTAACCTACAGACACTACTTCAGTCCCTGTTCGGGCGCCAATTGTAATAATAAAAAATAAAAAATTTAAATTATATGTGTTGGGTGTGTTATAAAGAAATATAAACTAAAATTGGTGAATTGGTGGCATCAAATAGAAACAAAATAACAAAATAAAGTCTCGGGCGCCAGATACCACCTTAAGAGAACACAGAACCCACCACAAACACAACAAATACCTCGGACATCTCAGCCAGCGTTGAACCTTTTTAAAACAAAGCGGGAGGACAGCTAATGAATACAAGATGTTAAGTTCTATTGGCAGTTTATTTTCCCGTAGTGTCTGTAGAGTACAATGTGTCTTATGTCTCTAATTACAATAGGTAATTCTTATACACAAATTAGTACTGTCATTAATGCAATCCTTTCCAATAAGAAAAATATAAGGTTTAATAAGTTTTAAAGAGTCACATGAAGACCCAAAAAGAAAAGAGTATAAGGGTAGTTGTAGCAACGCCCTACTCCCTTAATTAAAATTAACCCCTTTGGGGACCTGTATAGGTTTTTTAACAAAGTCGCATAAAGACTTAATAGACTAAACAATAAACTCTAAGGGTAGACATAGCATTGACCTACTCTCTAATGAAAAATAACACCCCTTGGGGACCTGCAGTGTTCAATGCCACGTCGCCAAGAAAAATATAACAAAACTACATACCGATGACCTTGGATCAATCCGAACGAAATGAAATCAAACCAACTCCGAAACTTCTCACTCCGGTTCCCACGTGGTGTAAGAGGCGGGTTAGTACTCCCCTGCTCCAGACGATGGCGTGCAGCTAAGCAGCTTTTTCTACCATTCTGAGCTCCACAGCAAACTAATTTCTTGGGGTTAAACTCCGGCGAGAGACAAAAATCGAATGCCACGCAAGGACATTCCAATAAGAAAGTAAAATAATTTAGGTATTGTAAAATCTTTAGATATTAACTAAAAAAGAAAAAGAACCCTGATTCATCTGCAAATAAGGAAAAATCATAGGTTAAAAGCCTATCTCACAGGATGAACCATAACTCTGACAAGAAATCATATTTCACTTACCAGGGTTCTAAAATGCTTCACAAATCAAGCAGCGGCATTATAAGCATTATAAGCATTGCCTGTAACCAATTAAACAAAGAGTTAAAACCACAAATTCCGCCAAGCCAAGCGTGAAGCACGTGGCCGAACAAACTCACCTTTTTTATCAAAAATAATCACTCGATCCACTAGCTCGAGTCTTAACTAGGTTGGCCAAACATTTAAAGAGGAAATAGGCCCTCGTCCATATCAAATAAATACGGATTTCTAAAAAATTAAACGACCAAACTGGGTTTGCTTCATTTCTCTCGGCGGCCGATCCAAAAGTGAAAGTCAAAGTGATACCAGTGCAATAGACTCTCGCTCTATAGAGCGGGGAAACAAAAATGTTGCCAGAACAAGAAAAACTAAATCGACTAAACTAATCGCGGGCGAACAACATCGATTATTACTCTCGTCCGTCCCTCGACCATCGGCACTCGCAGAAACGACAAAAAATTCAATCTAACAAAACAAAAACGAGACAAAGGTTCAAATTACTGTAATGGCGCGAAATGCACCGTTACAGTTAGTATGTTTGTTATTTTTTCACGCTCTAATGGCTGGACCAATTTTGATAAAACTTGGTCTGGAGGATACTTTATATCCCGAAAAAAATAATAAAAGAAATATATTTGATAAATTAGCAGGTAACACCGTGGAGCGCAACTAGTTATAATAAAATTAATAATTATTTTCTAATACTGTTTATTTAAAAAAATATCTATTACATACCTATTAATAATGAGACCAGGTATAACAATCGATGCCAGTGTCTGCCAGATTAAGGCATCTCCTGTTTCTATCAAAACACTTTTTGGACGGCCATCTTTCTACAAAAAAACATAATAAAATCATTTGATTTTACTTTTTAATAAATAGAGAGATACATGGTCCTTGACTTTCTACAGACCTTGGCAGTCAGCTGTTTCACTTTCTAGGGGCACCCATTACTTACAAAAATATATTGTTAAGTATAAAAACATATACAATTTATAGACATAAAAAAGCTTATGTAGGGATGCTTTACTTTTTTATATTATTATTTTTATTTTATTTTATACTTTATGCACAAATGTGACACAGGCGGACTTAATGCCGTAGGCATTTTCTACCAGTCGACCTTTGGGCGATGCAGAGTTAAAAAAAATGGTAGATGCACAGAAATTAGAAATGTGATTTAAAAGAAAAAAAAAATAGTATAAATAGAATATCATATGCACAGGGTACTTAAATAAATTGCATTAGAATATATTTTAATGAAAGAGATACATACATATATAACAGGTAATATAATAGGTAAATAATACATAAGTATTTATGTTTACATAATAATATACATTTATACATACATATAATTATACATATTATATATATATACATATACATACATACACACAATAAATTTTATATTTTATACATTATTTGTGGTACCTAACTTTTTCACTTTTATAGGAAAAGTGTAGGGACAAAAATTCTTGACCTAACTAAACTAACTATCTCCAGAACAATATTGACTTTTCTATAAAATGACTTCACTCATCCTTCGATAAAAAGAAAGTTCAAATTATGAGCAAGAAATATATAGCTTCTACATCAGTCACTTTCGTTTATTACACTATCCACGTAAACATTTTTCTATTAGAAGACTTTCTTATAATATTTCCTACAAATCTCCATTAGAATTATGTCACTAACATTCTTAGCCGTCAATATTTTAATTTAAAACTTATTTATACATACCCGATACATTTTATAACTCTTGTCAACAGTGTCAGCTAAAGTGTATGCAGTGGCTACTGTATAGCTGGCACGAACAACTGAGTTGGGCACAAGTGAACGGAAGGACTCTCCCACTTCGTTGGCATAACCTACAAATATGGACCTGTTTAGTGACCAGTACATTACACAAAGTGAAGGGTGAGTAATATTCTTATAGTTTAAACATATTATTATTGTACATTAACATTTTAGGAAGGTAAGCCAATTAGAAATTTTCTTAACATACAGAGCATGGATCACCAATTAGTTTCAATGCATGTCTGATTAAAAAGATGTATGCAGTTTATTTAGTTGATGACTAGCAACCAAGGTTTAAAACATAAATAAAATTAGAAATTAAATCTGATATTTTTTTTATTAAACATATGTGTAATAAAAAAAAAACAAATTGAATAAAAGGTTTTTATAAAATATTAATCTACGTTATTCTTGGATTCTTCTGGGTGTGCACAAATAGGTTGGCGGTTCAGCTCCAGACTACAATCTACTATTTGGTGCCCCTTGATGTAGAGGATTAATTTATGCAATTCACAAATCTTAAAAGTAAAACCATAAAAGAACCACAGTTTATTCTCTACCACTCACCTAAATAACGAATCCAGGTCTCTCTATAAATATCTTTTTCACCAGTGCCACTCATCCTCACAGATTCACACCAAATATTGATTTCTAATTAACAGAGAATCTTCATAATCAAAACGTTTAAAGCAAGGCCAGTTACTGCGGTCAATCTTCTATCATCTAAGCGGCCACTCACAAATATAGGTAGGTTTAGGTAACAGCGGCAGGTACGAAGGTGAAGTTCCTAGACCTTTGCATGTAGTTGTATTGTGGACATCGGCGTTTTTTTAAGTTTTTATATTTAAAACAGGCGTTTAGTCTTACATCGTATTAATTTTTTGATAGAATGAAATAAAGATTAAATATAATCATTTATTAATTGATTTGACATTGACATTGGGTCACAAACACACACACATACACACACACACTCACATTATTGGACACCTTGACAGGCTTGTTGTACAAGTAGTGCCACCACGCGGTTTTACAATTTCCCTGATATTTTTTTTAACATAAAAGATTGGCAATGAGCTGTTTAGAGATTGGGTAAACGGCGTCTTTACAGTGTAATAAACTGTTTTGTCTTTAATAGAGCACCTTCCCATAAGATTTTTCAACTTTTTCGTATTTTCTCTTGATCTACTCGACAGGCCTCACATTATTTTCAATGGAATCACTACTTCAGCCTGCCTTACTTCAATAGATTGTGCTACTTTTAAACCATTTAGTAGTACCTATGAACAGACGGCATCTCTTATAAAATCTTTTAAGGTTAACCTTACTTGGTAAGAAACTTGTTTGACTATGCGTAACTATTTCCTACATCTTTCAAATTTTCAGTCTTCTATTGTATCTCAGTCACTTTCATAGTAATGCTCTTATGTCTGTTTCCAATAACCAAACCAAACTGTTGTTACGAATCAATCGCTATCTTCCCAAACAATATTAAGTTGATATTTATCTAGTATCTACAGTGCGTCATCATATGTGTATCACAATCTAAGCGCTATCTGTCTTTATCTAACCAAGAGCCTTGTTACGCGTTTATCGTCAATGCCACGTTAAAAAATCTAATTTTATCATTATGTAACTAGTTTTTACTAGATATTAATTTACATGCAAAATTCTAGTCACTTAATTTATTAATAACAATTAATTGTGTCATTTGAAATATTTTAAATACCTATCATTATCAATACATTATAAATAAATATAAATTATAAAATCTCACCTATGACTTTTTAAAATGACCGATGTTGACAGATTAACAAGTGATGTTACAGCAGCTATATCTGTAGGAGAGAAATTTTAAATAATTAAACTTTAAAGTAAGAATCATTTGTTTTTGGACTTTAGGAGTCTCACACATCTTTACTAGCCTACCTGCCCGTTCGATGTAAAATGGGAAACTTCGGGAGAACTTGCTATACACTAGTAGAATCATGAACAACAAGGTAGTTGTTTTGTCTACCTTTTGTATGTGGAATCGCAAACATGTTTGTGTTTACGCAGTTGCATGTGTTTATGCAGAGGATAAAGCCTCCTTCTGCTTTTTAAAAATAATTACTTCTGCTTGCGGATAATTAAATTTAGTATTTATTACAGTAACATCAACAACAAAGAGTGATATCTTTACTCCTTAATAATAATAATAATATTTAATTCTCTTCACATCACATCACATCAACAGCCTATAATAGTCCACCGCTGGACATAGGCCTCTCCTTAGCAAGGAGGCTTTCTCTTAACTGTAGTTAAATCTATTTATTTATTTAATCATAGTTTTGCCTACAATTGTTACACCTTTCTTAAAAACAATACATGCATGTTATATAGGGTATGGGTGTACAACATTAATTGGCAAACACAACATTTAGAAAAAAACATTCGGATATTAGTGGTAACACATGATAGATAACTTATACTCGTATTAATTTTACAGTTAAAAGATTGCACTTGCACTTACCGTGACAATTGGTAGTTTAGAGGAAAAATCTATTGTGATAATTAAAAAGTTCTTCCAACAATGAAAACTTACCTCAAAAATAGGGAAGTTTCGAATGTATTTTAAATGTTTGTAATCTAAGCAATTTCGCTGTCAACTTTGGGTTCATTTTAAAATATTCTTTTTATAATCGAAAGGGTATACTCCTCAGGTGGTCTCATTATAAACAAGTCAGGATTTGACTATAAAATCCCAGAGAAATCGGGGATATTTCTCACATATGTTAAGCCTGTATAACATGTTTCTACTTTTTTCGCAAGCCATAGATTCACGTTTGGTAGTCAATAACACAGGCCAACAAAATTTGACAAAGTTTCTTACCCAGAAACCCGAGTATACTTTCCCGAAGAATTGCTCTATCACGTCTGGTTTTTGAGATATTCTTACCTATAAGGGCAAAAACACAATTTTTGCACATTTTTAAGGTTATGTAACCTTTCAAATTTTATTATGCTTGAAAAAGTACACAGGGTATCTTAAAGTTCAAGTCTTTAGCTTTCAAATGACGTTGAGTTTGCTCAGATATCTTTTTTTCAAACCAGTGAAATACTAGTACTGGCCTCTAAACTAAGCAAACCCTGTTCACCACTATCTCAGTGGAAAAAAAAAGATATTTAAGCAACCTCAACGTCATTTGAAAGCTAAAGATTTGAACTTTAAGATACCCTGTGTACTTTTTTAAACATGATATAATTTGAAGGGTTACATAACCTGAAAAATGGGCAAAAATTTGGTTTTTGTACACTTTTCAATCTTTCTGGAAAGCATATATTAGATTTTTATGGCATCAAGATATTCATTAGATTGTTATGTCGGGTTTCAAAGATATATAGCATGAAAGTAATACATGAGATTACAAAACATTTTGTAAAATAAAAGAAACCTGTTTGATATCTCAGAACTCCTTAATTTGTGAACTGATTTTGATAATTATATTTTTATTTGAAAGGGCTAATGGTTAAAAATCAAGATATAGAGAGTACTATTTTTTACAATTCTTTATGAGCGTGTAAGCGCATCGAAGTACGTGAAACGTTTTTAAAAGTCAATAATTGTATTGTATGACTTTTTTAGTTTGTATACATTATAGTTAGTTAGAAAACTGATTTATTTATAATCATAATTACTGTTTATTATATAGAAACCTTTGAACAATAATAAAAATAATATTCTAAGTCTAATCACCACAGCAGATAGTGAAAGTATTTTCCTTATTTAAAGCAAGATATTATATCTAGGCAACTCAGACAGACATTTAATATTGCCATACAAAATATATAAAAAAAAAACGCAGAAATACCTTCTTTGCGGTTTGTTATGTTTTAACAATGGACACAAAAAACTTAAATATCCTTAACGACTTCCTTTATCAAAAAATGCAAACAAAATAGATGACTTGTAAATAAATAACCATATTGTAAAAAAATCTCACAATTTTACATAATAAACTTCGGAATAGTAGCTTTAACCCACGAAATTATAGACAGATATAAATCTAATATACCTAGTATAAATTCATTTAAATATTTAACATTTAGCAATACCTTACCATCCATAACAAATTATTTTGTTATCATAATTAGAACCCTTTTCTACTATGCCACCTAGATCTTTATATTTTAAATAGCAAAATAAATATTCTTAGCTTTATCTATTTCTGAATATCTACGAGTAGCGAATTTCACCATTGACACATAAGGAATGTATGTTATGGTAATTATTTGCTAACTTCAAAATCAGCTGTTCTTTAGCACTCAGTGGAAAAAGACGCGTATAAAGTTGACATTACTTAAGAAATAAGAGCGTTTCAATAACAGTGCATTGGTTTGGACATATTAACTGTATTACGTATTAGCAATAAAGGCTAAAAAACTTAAAGTGGACAAGGACGTTAATATTCCTAGTGTATTTTGTAAGTTATCACGTCACGTATTTGTAGAAGTGCAATCGGTATTCATGTCTTATTTACCGTGTTGTGTAGATTTTACTGTGTATTAACATTTTTTTAAGTTACTGTGCCTTGTCAGTGTTTATAAATTTGTAATTTACGTAATTGCTACTCTAAAAACGATGAATGATCGCAATATTCCTAATTTTAGAAATACTTTATTTGTAGTTGTATCGGGGACGTTTATGATTGCGTGCTTTGCGATATTTGATAGTAGAGTTGTGTAGCTCCTGAGTGAGTGATATAAAAGATATATATCATTCACGACGATAAAATGTATCACTCACTCACACTAGCTCCGAATATATCAGTAACTCACTACTAGCTCACTAGATCACTAGATCACTAGCTCAACGACGCCTATCTATGTTTCATGAGCGAGTGAGACTAAAGATAAGTGAGTGAGATAGATGATGGTTGAGTTCACGCAGGTTTGTTTATGCAAAATGTACATTATTTCTATAGGATCAAAGTTTAATATTACTTAAGCATTAAGCCAAGTACAAGGAAAATTAAATTATGTATGATTTCTATTATACAACCTAAAAAAAGTACAAGAAATAATTTCTTATTTTTAATTATTATGTAAAAGGATGTTAATAATTATGTAATCTTATCAAAATGAATAAAATTGTATTTAAAAAAAATAGGTCAAAAATGTAGTTTCAAAAACTGAATTAATTTTATTTAATATGAAAGTTAATATGAAAATAAAGAAAGGTTTGTATGGCGAGAGAGGCTTAAAGTGAGTGATATACGAGTATACTGAGCTAAACGATCTAGATGAAGAAATGAATTAATAGTGAGACCAATCAATTGAATCGGATCAATGAGCTAGTGAGCTAAATGAGTTAGTGAGCTAAACGAGTTAGTGAGCTAAATGAGCTAGTGAGCTAAACGAGTTAGTGAGCTAAATGAGCTAGTGAGCTAGATGAGTGATATATATCTTTTGAGCGAAATGATATATATCAATCTTTTCAGGTCTGTGATACATTTTGCGCATCACTATTTGATAGAGTACTGAGCAATCTGATGTATCTGACAGGTAGTTTTTTTTTTTACCTGAGAGAAGAGTAGGAACACCATGTGATAATTTGTGCTTAATACTAATTTAAACTTCCAA